ACTATCACAACAATATAAAATAATAGACGCCAGTAAATTGTTCAATTCTCCTGGCCTTTCCCCTCCCCCCACACTCTTAAAATCCAAATGTGAAGTGTCATATCATTTAATGTTTATGGACCGTAGTGATGTTTAATAAAGAACTACTGTACGAGTAATATATAGTTAGTCATGAGAATATTTTTATTTTCACTGGATTTGAGCAAAGAACCCTGGGCTTGAAAGGAAAGTGCTTTACCAGCACACCACAATTCAATACACAAAATACTGTAAAGCTATGAGTTATTTAAATAGAATATTAAAAATAAAGGCTCAATGAACACATCATAAGTTTAATGCTGAAAAGGTTTTCAGCCCCAGCTCTACGATGTAGAAGAGGAGGATAAACAAAAAATTGTGCACATATTCATTAAAAAAAATGCTAAAGGCACTTTGAAGTGAAAAATAAACAAAGCAGAGGTTAAAAATTATATAAATTATCACAGAAAAGACTTGAATCTGATAATATTTAAAGCATTAAAGAAATTAAATTGAATCTGATTTGATTCATCTTTGAAAACTGTCATAAAATGAAGGTAAACAAACTGAAAGTGCAGAGATGAAATAGTTTTATATTAAATTTGGTTGTTGGATATGTTGCAAAGACTTGACAAATCAATCACTCTTTGGAAAAGTCAATTTTGAGTTATTAATACAGGGTTAAAGAGTAAAATAAGAGCTCTAAAATGGTAAAAATAAAAATCAATCCAATTCGACATTTCCTCATGAAGTTACAAGCGTTTAAACATACAGCTGTTTGAAGAACAATATATGAGAAATCAGCCTTCAAAGTTTATGATTTTGGGCATTTATCATGCAGAAACTACCATCAAATTCCTTAAAAAGTGTTGTTTTAACACTGAAAATGTGGAAAACAGCATAGCATAATATATATACTATATATACTGTCTCTTATACACATCTAGATGTGTATAAGAGACAGATATAATACAGTAACTCATGGTTTACATTGCACACATCTCTTGGGAAAAGGGGGCATGACTGGTACAATCACACTAATGAGGTAATTTCTTTGCTGAGATTTTATTATTTTTTCTACATTGTGCCGGAAATGATGGAGCATTATGCAGCAAAGACGAGAACTGTTTGCTTTCAACATGATTTATATATATATATATATATATATATATATATATATACACACATATATATATATATATAACACACATGTTTAAACAATATTTTTCATATTATTCACTTGTTCAAACCTTCCCGACTCTATCGACAGTCTTCCAAATGTACGTACAATGTTCCCGTCTCCCAAATTTTCAGAAAACAATTGCAAAATACTAAAAAAGCAGCTTATTTAGGTACTAATATTTAAGTATTCTGTGCCATGGTGTGCTGACTGTATCAAGGATGTTGGCATACAAAGACTGTGTTGCTGACAACTGGAAAGATCAGAATGTGTATGAAAAAACTTTTCTGGGGTGGGGAGCACTTCACCAAAAGGTCCCACCTCCCAAATTTTGGGTTCTAGGGGTTGGAACGTCTGCATTTAATAAGTTTGATATTCAGAAATAAACTTGAACAATGTTTTGTGCTATGCTATGCACACAACCTTTATAAACCAAGGAAAATAATGTTCTTACTCTTAAACTATGTTTATTTATCTATTAAATTTTCTTTATACTGGATGGCACGCTCAATGAAGAGGCACTGGTTTTCAATGTGGTCCAGTTTACATGTTGTGTATAAAATATTTTTGATTTACTTGATCAAACTTCATGTGTAAAAAAAAAAAATATAATGAAAGCTATATTTTATAGTTCATACTATAAAAGAGCTTCTAATTCTATGAATTTCTATTGTGTGATTCATATTTTATCCCTAAGAGATTTTCATAACCAATAAAGATATTAAAAATACATAGTCTGTCTTGTCGAACTGTGCATTGAAATTTGTGATCCTGGATATTTGAGAGTCTAGTTTCCAAGGCAACATCCAAAAATGAAAGTTAGCCTGGTTCTTCCGGTTGGTCACTAACCCTTGTGGTTTTCATTTTTATGTGTAGGCATTTGAAAGTGCTATTAATTTACTACCGCAAAGTGTAGAATATATAAACAATGTAGATGTCTTGGTCAACCCAATGACTTGCTGTCTCTGCTGATGACCATGAGGTATTCAATTACTAGGACTTTAATTCTGGTTTTGAGTTCCTCAAAATCTACAAATTTTAAGACATGAATCTGCTTGATATTATAGAGGATACTTACCATGGCAACCAAATATTATAGGTGGCAGCAAACAAATTAATTGTTTAATCAGCAAACAAATACTGGTAATTGCTAGTGTATATAAAAATGTCTTGTGCAAGTTTGATCTACTTTATGGAAATCTTACATTATTTTCATTTTTTTTTTTGTTTTCTTTTAGTAGAGTACGGTACAGTTATTAAACTGTGTAATCTGACAAAGATTTAAATACAAGACTTAGAAACAAGAAAAATCTTACCACCACAATATCATGACAGCTTCACTATCTGATCATGTAATGATAAAATAATCAGGTACAAAGTTGTATTATAATGATCATACTGTAATATCCAAGTAATGATCACATTGATTATGTAATGATTACTAAAATGATCATGTAATTATCAATAATCTTTCACAATCATAATAATGATCACAATAATGTAATAATTACAATGATCATTTTATGAATAATGACCATTATGTAATGATCACTTAATTATGCAATGACCACATTGATTTATAAACTTTAAATGATCTTATGACTAAATGATGGTATGATCATAATAATAATCATTTAATGATCACAATGGATGTAATATCATAATGATGTAATGATCATAAAATGATGATGATGAGATCGATCTCATCATCAACATGATCATGTAATAATCACAATATTCCTGTAATGATCTCAAAACAGGAATGTTTTGATGATCACAATTGAGAATTTAAACAGGAGGCTAATCTAATGAACTTTCAGATATGAAACACAAAAAGGTCAGACAGGTCACATAGTTATTTCTAAGCTTATCTAAGAAATCTGGAACCACCACAATGACTGTTAAAACCACAACAACCCAAAACATTTTGATGTTTGATGTTTGACTTGTAAACTGACTCACAATTCAAATAATGTGTGTCACTATTAATGAAGGTTATGAATGTATACTTTCATTTATTTATTTAAATTTCTGACTTGCTGTCAAAGCTTTCATAACAAGATAAAAAAAACAATTGTTGTGCTGGTCACCTTTTGGGAAAATCAAAAAAATGGGTAGGTCGGTAGGAATTTTTTTTTTTCTTTTTAACTGATAATGTGTTTATGCCTAAATAAAAAGTTAAATACACAAAAACACAATAAAGACAATTTTCAAATCTATATTGATAACACTGTTGTATCACCTATCGTTGCAAGATAAGCCTACTCCAGCCTTTAGCTCATTACAAAAATATTCTTTGTTGTAGTCTAAAAAACAAAAACAAAAAAAAACTAAAATGCTGACCCTCACTTTCAAACATTTTATGTCAGTCAGGAGCGTCGCCAACACAATAATTCGTTTTTATTTGGCCTAATAATAGCCTACAATAGGCAATATAAAAAACTGTTTTAAAACGATTCTTTATAAAATGTATATAGCTATAGCAGAACAGAAAACAAGACAATATAAAAAAGGAAATCTTATCGTGAAATTTAAATATTCTTTAAATTATAAAAATAGATAAACTACATTGATAACAAGTCTAATTCAATGCATTTTAAATCTAAACTTAAATTTTAAAATAAACTATGTTGAATCAAGTCTAATTCAATAAGTATTTTAAATCTAAACATGAATTTTACATAGCCATTTTGTGACAGGTAATATAAATCTGTCTTTATCTTGGTATCTATAATATAGGCCTGTATAAGCTATCACATAATTTTATATATATATTGGTATCTTCATTCACATAAAAATTAAAAAATATATAAATAAAACTCATTGCAGTTGAGAAACTGAGTTGCAAAATTAAGTTGTCATGTTCATTGATCTTGATTAGTTGCCAGTCTGATCTGTTGGCCAGGCATAATAAAATATGAGCTTAAATTTATATAATTGGACCATGAAATATAAATAATGGAATTAAATTTTTATGTTAAAGAAGGTTTTCATGACTGCTCTGTTCCCCAAAACAGTGCAGTGGGAGCTCGTATTATAAATCTTTACATCATTTGAACAGGAACAAATAGTAAAAAACACTGTTAATAAATGCCTTATTGTAGGAAGACGCATTAGAAGAATTGACCCCTATGACCTTTTGACAACTGGTTCAATTAGTTTATACAAAACTTTAATCCACAAATTTACGAGACTGACAAGAACAGATTTTGCCCAAGAATTGATCATTCCCCCAGAAATCACCTGGTCTACATCAACTTGTTCTGAGCTTATGTAGTGTTATTGAAAGGAAAAATATCAGAAATATAATTATTAATGAGAGAATACGTCACTATTTATTTTATAAGTAGAAAAACAATGATTATATGGTACACAAAATGTTCAAAACAACAGGCCTACTAGGAACTAAGTTCCAAGGGCATCCATCTGAAGTTTGGCGAAGCACTGGAGGTAGCTGATGGTAAGGTTATTAGGAGCATTAAAAAATATTATAAAATTATTACACAGGTATCTGGGGTGCTAAAAGTTATCAGGGGTACCAAAGATATAAGGGGAATTTGGGGTTACAGTGCTAGGGAATTTTGAAAGATATCAGAAGCATTTGGGGGGGGGGTGATAAAATCTTGGAGTTGGACGATATTTGGGATGTCATTAGGTATTCGGGGAATTGCAGTACTGTAGCATGGGAAAAGGGAATGAAACTTAAAACATTATACCATAAATGAAATTTTGGAAGAGTATTCCAATGTTATCTATTGGATTTTAACCATAGCGCTAATCGTAAAATTCATCAGGTACTTACCTTCAATATTTTGTGTTATTCCTACAAAATATTAATATCCATCCACCAGTAATTAGAAATCCAAACGTTAATGATACCAGTAACCAAAAATAAGAACTACTGTACCGATGATACCACGTCTTGGTTCAAGCTTTAACTGAGCATTTTATTCTCACTACCTAGAAAATGTATTTAATATAGAATATCATTACCAATATTTTTAAACATTTATTAAATTGTATTTTTAAAATAATTAAGAATGCGTTTTAATTTATTTAAGATTCCTATTCACAGTGTAATAAATATTTTGAATGTTACGCAGGCGTAAAATTTCACAACACAGTGTAATCACATTTAACAATCTAACACATACACTTTGACAAGACATTTCTTATTCCTTCTTTCACAAACCTTACATTTTATATATTGTCAGAGGGTGGAAAAAAAATAAAAATAAAATTTTGTTTTCTATTGTTTTGCCAAAAACATAGACAGTGGAGAAAATAAAAATAAAAAGTTATTGTTGAATGTAAACAGTGAGTAATGGGATGGTTAAATCATTTAAATTTATATAATTAGGTAGAAATATACAAACTTATCTTTGGAGATATCAAGGCAGTGGCGGGCATAATATTTTTTCCTGAAATTTCCATTTATTCATATCGGCAGGTGCGCTAATTGGGAGAAAAATAAAATGTTATGCTTATTTGAAATCATCGTTATTGGCGGGAGGCTGGTTTGCTAAACAAGGCATAAAAAATCTTGTCTTACCATTACAAACTAGTTCTCAGAAGTGCAAGTCTGTCAGATTGTTGACTTACCTACATTTTTAACTTATCTACCAGCGACTCGAGTATTGCGAAAACAATGGTTACAATAGTATCATGCTCATAATGTGTCCAATCCGACTTGAAGAAAAGCTGACCACAACGGTATTGCGTAAAAGTTCATGTTTTTGGATAGCTTAAGCATGGCCGTCCTATTTCATAGTAGACTTTTGAAAATTGGGTTGGGGTTGGGGGTGTGAGGGTTTATGCCGCAATATACTGATCAAATGTTAATCCAAAACTTTTTTCAAGCAATAGGGCACACCAACAGGATCAGTGCTACATGCATGGAAAAATTCATAATTATACAAGAGTTTAAAAATGTACAAACTTTGATGACGTCAGCAGAACATACGTCGACGCGCAAACACACCCACCATACATTTACCATTTTTATTGCACTATGCAACGTGCACTTATGCAGCAGCATCTCTGCATTCATTGTCAATTGAAGATATTCCCTGGTGAAAATCCTTAAAAAATATGTTATTCTATTTCATATATTTACTATATCTGCACACACCAATCCACCCACTCCCCTTCACAAAGCCTTGAATCTTTTCAAGAAGATATGGGATATTATTTTCCAATTGTACTGATTAGCTTTTTAAGCAAAATATCATTCTTTTGATTTTGCTTATATTTTTTTGTATGCAGAATGTCACAATGACAGTTGATTTACCAACTATAATTCTTCTTTATAGCATATATTAATCGTTCAGCTACCCATCTCTCCTCCCCCCCCCCCACCTCCCAACAAGGGTAGGCCTACTCAGTGTTCAAAACAGACATTTATAACAAAGAAAACGAAAGCCTTTAAATAAAAGTTTCATAGTAATTATAGAAATGAATCTGTCTGACATGCCGTTTCACAGTAATGTGATAGATATACACAATATACACACAAATTGGTTGCCAAGCAATGGCACATTAACTGCACAAGTTGCTTTCAAAACACCAGTGATAGGATTAACAGTGTCAATACCATCTACAACAGCAGTCACAACCTTTTCACAAATTATGCTTCTAGACTATCAAATTCTGTTTGACAAAAACATGTGAAAATAATGCCTAAATAAGGTTTAATATGACATCATCATTTCATGACCATATATAGGCACATTGTGTCCATAAATATGGGCATACAACAGTGTTTTTTGATAATCTGAAAAAAAAAGAACAAAAAAAAAAAACATTATAGATTTCAGCTAGTAAAGCTGGTTTAATAATACATTCTTTCAAGTTTTAAATAGCCATATTTTGTTATATTTTATAATTCTATGGCAACCATGTAAGACTCAGATATTAATGAAAATGGAAGCTCCAGGGATTTCATATTCAAAGCACTTCACCTCTGGGCTCTAAAATTGAGCCTAGGCTGGATCCTAGGTGACCCTCTTGTCCTAATTCCTACTGGGCCAGTCTAAGTACTTTCCCCACCCTTAAAAGTTGAAATCTCCAACATTAATCAAATACTATGTGATATACTAGAACAGCCGACTTCCATCGTATCTTAGGAAGTCAGCTTATATTTCAGGGCCCTCTTAAATAAATGAAATAATGTGATGCATTTATCAGCGAAGACTGTTTATGAGGCATAGAATTGGAGTTGTCTTTAGTCGTGATTAAAAAGCCTCACTGTTTTACAGGAATTGAACTCAGGACCCAGCTATTAGAAGGCAAGCAACTCCACTCATGGGATTATTTTCTAAAGAAGTTTTGATAAGATTCTGTAATAGAAATACAATGTACACTAGAAGGAAAACAATATTTTTTTTTTAATGGAAAGAAAAGAATGTTAAAGGAGATCAACATAGCATAAACTACCTGTACTCTAATAACTTTCCACAATCTGAAAAGTTCACACATATTTGGCAAACACTTTGCTCGTAATTCATGTTACAGAGTCAGGTGTCAGAACTACTGTGAACATGGTTGCATGTGCTGTTGTGGAGACAGCAGGTAGACACATGATCTGCACTAGACTTGTGTCACTCCCAAAAGTATACAGTTTCAGGGCCTAGGGAATTCCTGCTATAGTGAAACCACCTTTGTTTTTTTCCCCAACAGTTTACAGATGAAAATTAGTAAACATTTTGGTAGTTAACAGATGCTTTGATACCCTATCCACTTGTTCATGGTTTGCGAATTACAGACATCACTTCCGACATTTACATTCTAATGCAGCCGCAGTCCTAATGAGTTACAGAAGATACAAAAATTAACGAAAAACAAAGGCCAATAATAATTGAAATATGAATACTGTAAATCAACCAAAAAACATTAACTTTTGGCACATGCACGAACCTTAAAAATGTCAATCTACTGAGTTTGCATACAAAATTTGCATACCAAAAACAGTGATGGTTATAGTGAAAATTCTTTAAAAATGGTGGCTGACAGTAAGAAAAAATTATTTAGCTGATCAACTATAAATTTATTTTACACAATTTGCATGATGAATACACAAGCAAATCTTAAAATGGTAACAGATTGTTACTTGTTTAATTGCAAAAACATTGTAAGCTTCGAATCCACAACACAAAAAACAAAACATAACGACATAATTAATGTCTGCAGGGGCAGAAAAAACCACACCTGAAATTGGAAATACCTAGAAGCCAGGCAGCATATTCGGGATTTATTTATAATTATATTAAAGAAGGAAAATTTATTCAAAAACAATCCCTTTTTTAATCTGCCCTGAGAAAATTATTAAATAAATTTTCATTGATTTTGTTTTCTCTTTACTGTATTCAATAACTTAAAAACAATCATTTTGTGTTTGAGAATATTTTGTTAGATGAGGACCAAGAAAATTGATTAAGGCGTGTAAGTTACGTATAAGTGATAAGAACGCAGGACCTCACCAGGGGGGCTAGGTTACTCCCAAGCTTCGCAGGCCATTTGGATTGCTCCACTCGCACGTGCCCTTTCCAAACATTTAGTACCCCTGGCTGCGGGCTTGTGCCCTATAAAAAGATAAAAACACCGGTGCTTTTCTCTATGGTATGTCAGGCATAAAAAGTTGGTGGTATCAACAAATATAAATCCATTCATCCTTAACACAAAAGTCAAATATGGGGGATGTGGAATGGACAATTCATTAGTTTACTAAAAACCTTTGTAAAAGCCGACTTTTTGTTCTGCTTGCCTTTTCAGACCGTGAGAATTTTTTTTATATATTTATTGTACAATTGCTATTAACTACAATTACTTTTATTCCAGTTTTAACAAGAGGATGTTTTGAAATAATTAAAAACCTGGCAGCAAAGTTATCTCAAAACCACGCACCGAGAAACAATTTGTAAATGATACAGACGATGAGTTCATACTGCTTCATTGAGTTTTATTGGTGATTAAGAGTGTGCAGAAAAATTCTTTTGTTATTAGTACTGCACAACGTACAGTAGAATATTTCTCTACATACAGACATTAACTTCTGTGACCATATTACAACCAATCCTGGGTAGTGCCACGATTTGTCCGAGGGTGAAAGATGTTCCTGACAGGGGGAGGGGGTGGGGGATTTCGAAGAGAGCGTAAATGGTGCTGGCCAGAATCACAGGAAGGCTGTAAAAGAAGGTGAAGCTTTTAAATTTCTTACAATTTAAAGGTTTGAAAGGCTTCATATTTAATAAATTTTATAGTTACGAACTGTAGAAACTACAGACTTTCTTTCTACCCGACAACTTGTGGTATTTATTTTTATTCTTTATTCATTTTATTTATTTATTTTGTATATGTATAAAAATAACAATTTCATAACAAATCCCAGAGAGCAAGCTAGCAAATATAACAAATGAAAAACATACTTAACTACAAAACAAACGTACAAAAGTATCAATTCATTGGAAAAAACAATCAGAACTTATTTTACAAAGAGAAGGGGAAAAAAGTTCACAAAATAAAGAATCTGTATTAAGTTAGAATTATTATCATTACCACGATTATTATTATTTATTATTATTGAATTACAAAAAGTAACAAAAGATTACAAAAACTTCCAGACAAGTATGACAGCTCTCCCTGAGCTGTATGTTGTTGGGATGGAAAAGAGGAGCCTGCAGTTCACACACCTCATTCTTGCCCAAGTAAATCTGTTTGTCTTTCCCACTATAATTATACTGGTACTAATATTTACTTTTGAATAAAAAGAGAAAAACATACGGTATTGGATAAAGTGTCTGTTCAATGACATAATCATTTTGTTAAAAAATACAACCACTTTCAATTCATATTCACCCAATAAAAAATATAAAAGCTTATATAATTTTAAAATCATTATAATTATAATATTTCATTTTTTATCACAGATCTGCAAAAACATTGAAGCTAATTTAGTTTTTTTTTTT